AGGAGCCGTGCGAAGCTGGGCCCATTGGCGCCGCGTTGCGGGCCGCCACGTGGGCGCATTGGAAGGCGATCTCAGCCGCGACGTTCGAGTCCCCGTCGATCGGCCTAGCGGATGTGCTCTGGCGGATCACGCAGACACAAGTAATCGCCGACTCCCAGGAAAATATGTGGGGAAATGCGGGAAGTGGTGGGGAATACGAAAACTCAGGAAATATGGGAACACATAGGGAATCCGGGGGGGGGTGTATATTTGTTCGTGTATCCCTGGTCTTCTGAAGGCTGCGAGAACACTGGCGGGCAGCTCGAGTCTCTCCGCGCTGGAGCGGCACGCGGTGAGCTCGCTCCTCGGCGGCGCTGGCCTCGCACGGCAGGGGGCGCGGGACCGGGGCTACCTGGTCAGCGGCAGCTGTGATCAGTGCGGAGCGCGGTCGAGCATCGAGCTTTCGGGTGTCCGCGTTTCGCGGCTGCCAGAGATCCAACGCATTTGGAACATCAAGACGGAGATGTTTCGTGGTTTTCGGCCTCGAGGGGGCCTCGCCGGGTCCCGGGCCCGTCAAATTATCCCGGCAAAGCAACCTAACAGCGATATGTAGAAGCATATCTGAAAGCATTCCCCTTAAGATTCAGATGGAAATCCAGTTGTCGAATTCTGCTGTTCTCGCAGTCGTAGTCGCATTCGCGATGACAGTCGCAGCGGCAACGGCAGTCGCAGTCACAGCCTCAACCTCAGCCTGCCTCAGCCTCAGCCTCAGCCTGCCTCAGCCTCAGCCTGCCTCAGCCTCAGCCTCAGCCTGCTTCAGCCTCAGCCTCAGTCTGCCTTCAGCCTCGGCCTCAGCCTCAGGCTGCCTCAGCCTCAGCCTGCATCAGCCTCAGCCTCAGCCTCAGCCTGCCTCAGCATCAGCCTGCCTCAGCCTCAGCCTCACCCTGCCTCAGCCTCAGCCTCAGCCTGCTTCAGCCTCAGCCTCAGTCTGCCTTCAGCTTCGGCCTCAGCCTCAGCCTGCCTCAGCCTCAGCTTGCCTCGGCCGCAGCATCAGCCTGCCTCAGCATTCAAAATGTGGCCCAGGAATAGGGTTCTGGGAACTAGAAGAACACGAAGTGGCTTACAGTTGGCTCCGGGCATTCAAAATCATGCCCAGGAATGGAGTTCTGGGAACTTGAAGAGCACGAAGTGGCCTACAGTTGGCTCCGGGCATCCAAAATGTGGCCCGGGAATGGAGTTTTGGGAAATCGAAGAGCACGAAATGGCCTACAGTTGGCTCCGGGCATTCAAAATGTAGCCCGGGAATGGAGTTCTGGGAAGTCGAAGAGCACGAAGTGGCCTACAGTTGGCTCCAGGCATTCAGAATGTGGCCCGGGAATGGAGTTCTGGGAGGTCGAAGAGCACGAAGTGTATGATTGTTAATGAAAAACGAGCCCGGCTCTGTTCCCGGTTCTCCAGAATGTGGCCCGGGAGTGGAGTTCTGGGAGGTCGAAGAGGTGTGTGACTGTTCGCGAAAAGCGAGCCCGGCTTTGTTCCCGGTTCTCCAGAATGTGGCCCGGGAATGGAGTTCTGGGAGGTCGAAGAGCACGAAGTGTGTGACTGTTGGCGAAAAACGATTCCCGGTTCTCCTCCCCGGCACCCGCCCAGACCCCCCACTAGAAACCTATCAGCAAAAGCTGTTTGGTAAAAACGATTCAGGATGAAAAGCCAGGGGGATGGGCCGGGACCTCCGGGGGCCCCCCGTATCGAAAAACTCGCGACGTCGGATCTCTGGGCTGGCCGTGATGATAGCGCGGGGCTCGGGCGCCGGCAGTGTCTGTGGCGACCCCCTGCTTCGCAGTCGTTTCCTGCCCCCGCGCCCTTCTCAGGTTCCCGAGCCCCCCGCTGAGCGCAGTCGGGCTTTTCCCGGGGGCGACGGGGTTCCGGCCCACAGCTTCCGAGTGCCAGGCGGCCCCCATTGTCGGCGGCAGGTCGGCAACCACCTTCCCGCTCGAGTCGTTGAGGAGGGGCGGGCGGGGGCTGGTGCAGTGGGGTTGCGCGAAGTGCGTTGTTCCGGTTCACTGATTCGTTCCCTCACCGTCTGCCCCAGACAGTGGTCTTTAGGAGCCGCGGTTTTGAGACAAGACCTGCACGCAGACAGGGGGCTGCTCGTCGGTTGCAGAGTCGGCCCGCAGCGGGATGGCCTAAGCGGGCGAACCCTCGTGTTCTTTTGCTGGATGTTGGCGGGCCCTCCCGCGACAGGACGGAGCTCTTCGAGGCCCCGCCGAGCAAAAATCGCACGCCCAGGTCTGCGAGCAACCCACTTCCGATGTCGAGTCGGCCGCGAGGCTTAACGATCAGGCGGATCAGGCCGCCAAGCTCGGGGGGCGCCTGCATGACGCGTGCGCTTCCTTGGCAAAAAATTATCCCGGCAAAGCAACCTAACAGCGATGTGTAGGAGCATATCTGGAAGCATTCCCCTTAAGATTCAGATGAGAATCCAGTTGTAGAATTCTGCTGTTCTCGCAGTCGTAGTCGCATTCGCGATGACAGTCGCAGTGGCAACGGCAGTCACAGTCGCAGCCTCAGCCTCAGCCTGCCTCAGCCTCAGCCTCAGCCTGCCTCAGCCTCAGCCTGCCTCAGCCTCAGCCTCAGCCTCAGCCTGCTCAGCCTCAGCCTCAGTCTGCCTTCAGCCTCGGCCTCAGCCTCAGCCTGCCTCAGCCTCAGCCTGCATCAGCCTCAGCCTCAGCCTCAGCCTGCCTCAGCATCAGCCTGCCTCAGCCTCAGCCTCAGCCTGCCTCAGCCTCAGCCTCAGCCTGCTTCAGCCTCAGCCTCAGTCTGCCTTCAGCCTCGGCCTCAGCCTCAGCCTGCCTCAGCCTCAGCCTGCCTCAGCCTCAGCATCAGCCTGCCTCAGCATTCAAAATGTGGCCCGGGAATGGAGTTCTGGGAACTCGAAGAACACGAAGTGGCCTACAGTTGGCTCCGGGCATTCAAAATCATGCCCAGGAATGGAGTTCTGGGAACTCGAAGACCACGAAGTGGCCTACAGTTGGCTCCGGGCATCCAAAATGTAGCCCGGGAATGGAGTTCTGGGAAGTCGAAGAGCACGAAGTGGCCTACAGTTGGCTCCGGGCATCCAAAATGTGGCCCGGGAATGGAGTTCTGGGAGGTCGAAGAGCACGAAGTGTGTGACTGTTGGCTCCGGCTATTCAAAATGTGGCCCGGGAATGGAGTTCTGGGAGGTCGAAGAGCACGAAGTGTGTGACTGTTGGCTTAAAACTAGCCCGGTTCTGTTCCCGGTTCTCCTCCCCGGCACCCGCCCAGACCCCCTTGTGGAGTCCAGATGCTCTCTTTTGACACCACTAGAAACCTATCAGCAAAAGCTGTTAGGTAAAAATGGAGGACCGTGATGCCCGTGAAAAAATGTTCCTCTGGAGTGCTGCCAGGGTGCTTCCCTTGCGCCGAAACGGGGGCGGGCCAGCCTCGGGCGGCCTTCTTCCTCCCAGGTGAACCCGTTTGCGAATGCCCATGAGTGTGCGCAGGCATGCAGATGTAAGTGGTGGCAGTGTGTGAGGTGTGCGTCAACTGTTGCTTTCGATTCTAAGGAGTGCCGTGTCGAAGACCAGCCTCGCGGCTCCGTCAACAAGGCAGCCCGCTTCGCGGACACCCGCGATCTCGAATGGTGTGAAGTCTCGGCGGAGCCCGCGGCCCCTGCTGGAGAGGTTTCATTGTCTTGCAAGCGGCGCTCCCAGCATGCGCCCGGTAAGCCGGATGGTCCCGGAGCCCTGACTCCGGATCCGCCCTAGTTTGGGGAAATTCGTAAGTAGGGCTTGGAATTTCCGCCTTACTTTTCAAGCCCCGCTGATGCCAATTTCCGCCTTACTTTTCTGTTGTTGTTTCCGCCCTACTTCTGTGGATTTTCGGCCTATTTTATGCTGGGTGTAGAACTATCCGCCCTACTTTTTCGGCTTCTTATAGGTGGATTTCCGACGCAATTTCGAGTTGGAAAAACAACCAAAGTAGGGCGGATCTGGAGTCAGGGAGCGCCGTGTCCAGCCCGCGGCAAAGCCCGCTGGGCGACAGAAGCGAGGCTGCGCTGCACAGGCGGCGGAGGTTCCAGGGGGCTCCACCCGAAGTGCGGCGAGGGCGCGGCCCAGCAGGCAGCCTCGTCTCGGAGGCGACGGACAGGACCGTGTGCACGCCCGCGGGGGTGCCGAGCGCCGAGTGCTTCTGTTTCTATCATGGGCTGCCCCTCTGCTTTAAGGTGGGCCTGTCCCTCCACAGGGGGAATAATCCAAAATAGTCAAAAAATAGTATGGGGACGATTTGTGTGAGCTTGTTTTGGCAATTTTGGGGCATTTTTGGGGTATCTTTAATTTTTCGTCCAAAATCCCCCTGTAGGGGGGCAGGCCCGACTTCACCTTTGCTTCGGCTCCCCACCCGGTCCAGGCGACGCAGCGGAGACCGCGACTGCCAGTTTGTTCGGCGATTCTGCAGCTTCTCGCCACATGGACTGCGCCGTGTATATGGCATGACGTTCTGGAGGGTGATCGCCCAGTGGCCGTTATCCCCTTCCGTGCTCGGCCTCGCGGATCCAGTCTAGTTTCTTTGCCTGGGGTGCGGGTGCTCGTGCGGGCGGCCCCTGTGCGCCCCACGTGTGCAGATGTGTGCGCGCGGCCCTCGACGACGACATGCGGTAGGGTCAGGGGGCTCCCGCACAGCAGAGGGGTGAAAAAAAAAACGCCGCCGTCCTCCTCCTCCTCCTCCTCCTCCTCCTCCTCATCATCATCATCATCATCATCAGCATCCCCCTCCTCGTCCTGCGTCGACTGCTCCTCCAGATTTGACCACCTGGAAGATCCTAAAGAGGAGGAAGCATGGCCTGGTGGCGTGCCTCCAGAGCCCAATGTAAATTGACCGTGCTGCATTGGTTGACCCACGACGCTGAGACTCGCAGCTTCCTTCTTCTCCTCGTGCTCTCATGCTCTGTCCACTTCTCCTCTGCATCATCTCCTTCATCTTCCCCCCCTGTGCACCCTCAGGGGAGCGGAGAGAGCTACCCCGAGATGAGTGCCGCCGACACCGTCGTGCGTATGGCGCCGGGGCGGGGACGAGGGCAAAGAGAGGGAAGGAAGTAGGGAGGGAGGGAGGGAGGGACGGAGCGAGGCAGGATGAGGAGGAGGAGGATGATGAGGAGGAGGAGGAGGAGAAGGAGGAGGAGGAGGAGAACGAGGAGGAGGGGGGAGGAGGAGGAGGAGGAGGAGGAGGAGGAGGAGGAGGAGGAGGATTGTCACGGCTGTCGTTTAAGGCACGGGTAATGTTTTACCGCTTCGTGCCCTAACAATGGTGGCATGCTATGTTGAATTCCAATTCCAACTCAAACATCAGAAAGCATTGAAGTATCTGCAACATAAATCATGCTACCCTGCGTGGTGCAAAGTGTTTGATATGCAATGCTAACTCAAGTGGGATGTAACCTGGAATGCATGAGTAAGGTCCCCCCTCGGCTGTGAAGCAGGATGGTTTACAATTGCCTGGCCTCTTCCCGGAGGAGGGCCGCCCCACGATTGCGAAGCGCGATTAGTTGCCCCGTGCCAATCCCCGTGCTCCCATGGATGCAACACTTGTGAAGATGCGCCTACTACCACGCCCATGCCGTGCAACACTCGCGCCATCACCCTCCACTGCACGGCCTATGGCCACCCATGGCCTACACGCGGGCCCTTTTGCACGGTGGCTGGTAAGCCCCCCACCCCCATGCCTGATGCGGCCACCTATGGCCCGCGCGATACTGCGCAGACCCCTGGCCTGTTACGGCCTCCTATGGCCTGCGAACTATCAACATGTCAAAGCATGAACCCACCTGGCGCTCCTCCACGACGTGGCTGGGGGACGGGGCCAGAAGCAGGAGGAAAAGGAGGAATAGGAGGAGGAAAAGGAGCAGTAGGAGAATGAGACAAGATAACGCAATACCAGACAAGAGACGCCTCTTCCATATTTGCATGGGACATCCTCCAATGCTAGGAGGAGGAGGAGGAGGAGGACGAGGGGGAGGAGGACGAGGATGAGGAGGAGGGGGGGGGCAGGAGAAGGAGGAAGGGGAGGAGGAGGAGGAGGAGGAGGAGGAGGAGGAGGAGGAGGAGGAGGGGGAGGGTGGAGGGTAGGGGGAAAGAAGTAAATGGCGAGATGAGGAAGGATGCGCCAGAGGATGAGGGCGGAGGAACGAGAGCGGAGGGAGGAGGATGATTATGACGATGATGATGATGATGATGATGATGATGATGATGATGATGATGATGATGATGATGACGATGATGATGATGATGATAATGATGCTTCTGGTGGTGCTGTTGATTATGATGATACTGATTATGATGAGGATGATGATGATGATGATGATGATGATGATGATGACGGTGATGATGATGATGACGACGATGCTGATGATGGTGGTGATGGTGGTGCTGATGATGATGATGATTGTGTGGAGGAGAAGGAACGAGTACGGATGACCTGGATGAAAGAAGGACGAGAAGGCTGAGGAAGAGGAAGGATGGAAGTGAGCGAAGGGGGGAGGACGAGGAGGATGGAAGATCGACGAGGGGATCGATCGGGGATGGGAGAGGCAGCGAAGACGGTGGAGTAGAGCGCGCAGGATAACGAGGAAGAGTCGAGGCAAAAACGAGGCAGAGGCCAGCAGGACGAGGGCACGGCGAGGAGCAGGAGGAGCTGGGGGAGGCAGGCGCGGGAGGAATCGAAGACGAAAAAACGGTAAAACATACACTTTTGGCGCTCCGCGCGGATTTCTTGGATCCGCGCTGGCCCCCCCCCCGGCGGCGCCTCTACTGAGTAGGGAGTAGTGAGTAGTGAGTAGTGGGTAGTGAGTAGTCGGTGGTGAGTAGTGTGTAGTGAGTAGTATCTCGTGAGTGGGGAGTTTTTGAGTTGCGAGTATTGGTTAGTGCGTAGTGAGTAGTGGGTAGTGGGTGGTGAGTAGGGAGTATTGAGTAGACAGTAGCGAGTACGGAGTAGCGAGTAGTGAGTAGTGAGTAGTGAGTAATGAGTAATGAGTAGTGAGTAGTGAGTAGTGGGTAGCCAGTAGTGATTAGTGTGTAGCAAGTATGGAATAGGCGTAGTGAATAGTGAGTAGTGAGTAGTGGGTGGTGAATAGTGAGTATTGAGTAGCGAGTACCGAGAAGGTAGTAGCGAGTAGTGCGCAGTGAGTATTGAGTAGTGAGTACTTTGTAGGGAGTAGAGATTAGAGAGTAGTGAGTACTGAGTACTGAGTAATGAGTAGTGAGTAGTGAGTAGTGAGTAATGGTTCGGGTTCTTGTGAGCAGTGAGTAGTGAGTAGTATGGGCAGTGGGTAGTTCGTAGTGAGTAGTGAGTAGTGAGTAGGGAGTATCGAGTAGGAAGCAGTGAGTAGTGAGTAGTGGGTAGTGGGTCGTGGTTAGTGAGTATCGAGTACTGTTTGGGACTAGGGTTAGGGGGTGGGTTTAGGGTCTGGGGTTAGGGTGACGATTAGGGTTAGGGGTGGTAGGGGGGGGGGGGCGGGTTCTGGAGTCAGGGGGAGGCGTGGCGAAAGGGGGGGGGTCGAATTTCAAGCCCCAGCGGGGGGGGGAGGGTTCGGACCCCCCC